GTTTCTGACATTGCTTTTGTTGTTGTTTTGGGGGGTTTGAGAAACCAAGCTCCACAACCACCTGAAATACCAGCTACTTGGGCAGGATGATCTCAAATTCAAAGTCAGCCTAGCAACTTAGACCTTGATTCAAAGCTTTTTTAAAAAGAGCTAGGGATGGGACTGGGGTTGTGGCTCAGTGGTAGAGCACTTGCCTGGTACATGTGGGGCCCTGGGTTCGATCCTCAGCACCACATATAAGTGCTCTTAGTTAAAGAGCACTTGCCTACCAGGTGAAAGGCCCTGGTTCACTATCCAGTACCAGGAAGAAAGGGGTAAAAAAGAGGTAAGCAATTAACCAAATGCCACCAAATGCTGCTGGGAAAGTAAGTATGCATCTTTTGTAGGAAAATGTTTCCTTGCTGGGCGTAATGGCACACACCTGCAACCCCAGAGACTGAAGAAGGATCACAAGTTCCAGGCAAGTCTCAGCAACTTAGTAAGGCCCTAAGCAATTTAGCAAGAGACCACGTTTCAAAAAACAGAAAGATAAAAGGGCTGAGGATATGCGTGGTAAAACACCCCTGGGTCCAATGCTGATGCTTACAAGTGTCTCACATTCCATACCAGCTGAATGAAAAGATCAACTACACAATTACTGGAGACCACAGAGAAAAAGAAAACTTATTGAGTTGGTAAAGTGCAAATTTCAAGAACTTCCAAAAATGGTAAGCTTTAAGAAGCCAGTGCAAAAAAAGGGAATTTTCAAACTTTCACAAACTATTGCACACTCTTGCTCAAATGCCTTATCCTTTATAATGTCTCTATGGTTGTACACTTTCAAAGGGACCAAATGCTAAGCATCAGAGATTATCAGTGTTAAGTTTCTTTTGCCCTTTGCCAAAGCTTTGATAATCTAACCTTCATTTTCCTTTTATTGTTTTATTAATGAGCACTGCCCTCAAGACTAGACTGGTTGAGATTCTATCCACTACCTCAGGTTTTTAGAAGACTGAAATTAAATTGATCAAGAAATCAAATTCACAAAGTTACAGACTTTAGTATTTCGGAGATTATCAATTTGGTCTGAAAGCTGAATAATCTTAAAAGCTCAAGACTGAGTAAATAACTTGGTAGATTTTGTATTCTTCTGTGATTTCAAAAGATATTATCTGTGCTAATATGCCAGAGGAGGGAACGATCTAGGAAACTTAGATTTTATTATAACTGAAGTAAGCATAGATTTACATACTGTAGCAGATGTATTATAACAGAACACTCCTGTACAATACTGGGTTCAAATTCATCCACTTCATGAGGATAGCTTGAGTCTCTGAAACAATGCAACAATATATTTTAAAAATATGAATGTTGTTCTCCATTGTTGCTAGCAATGTGAGCCAGCAATATAAGACTATGTTAATAACAAACCACACACACAAAAAAATACCTTTAAAATAACTGATTTAGATAGTGTAACTAAACAGTGGCGCTTTTTTTTTTTCTCATTAGCCCTTGTTTTAATAGTTATACATAGTAATTGCATTCATCTGGAAAAAACTATGGAATTGGATTTCACTTCATGATCCCTTTTCCCTCCTATCCCCCCTTCCCCTGATGTTTCCTTGTTTTCCTTCCCCTACTAGCCTTTCTTTCACCTATTTATTTATATTTGTTTGGTTCTTCTTATTTATACATAAACAATGGCTTTCCTTCCTTCCCTCCCTCCCTCCTTCCTAGAATTGAACCCAGCTGTACTTAATCACTGAGTCACATCCTCAGCCCTTTTTAATATTTTATTCAGAGACATGGTCTCCCCGAGTTGCTTAGGGCCTCACTAGGTTGCTGAGGCTGGCTCTGACCTCCCCATCCTCCTGCCTCAGTCTCCTGAGCCACTGGGATTACACAGGCATGCAAGAGGCAACAGTGGTTTTCTTAAGATAGGGAATTGAACAGCTAAGACAGAATTGGAAGATATTTTTCAATGAGTACCCTTTTTGTTGAACTTTATAATATGTGTATGAACTACTTCAATCAAAGAAAATAAAATTACCTAGGAAAATTGAAGATTTTTGTCCTATTTGACATCTCATTATTAAGACAATTGATATATGGGCTGGGGATGTGGCTCAAGCGGTAGCGCGCTCGCCTGGCATATGTGCGGCCCGGGTTCGATCCTCAGCACCACATACAAACAAAGATGTTGTGCCCGCCGAAAACTAAAAAAAATAAATATTAAAAAATTCAAAAAAAAAAAAGACAATTGATATAATAATGAGAATTAACAAATATAAAGAACAAAGCTAGTATTTTAGTGTTAAGGTGAAATTGGTCCTTAGATACATAGCTGGTGAGACTCCAATCTGTAACAGTTCTATTTGAAATTTATCCTAAGGAAAAACTCTGAAAATGCTCAAAAGCATACCTCCAGAAATAATGATCACACTAAAGCCTATTTTCAGATACTTTGAAAGTATCATGTGCAACATCAAAGAAAAATTTTGAAAAGTGAAAGCATACTTTGAAAACAGTATAATCTTTTAATGAAGTGTTGACTGCAGTAAGGGAATATATTCTATATTTTAACTGAAATGGTGATTTCACATGTGTATACATTCGCCAAAACTCAAATTGTAAACTTTAAAAATGTCTACATTTAATTATATATAAATTAAATCTCAATAAAGTTGATTTAAAAGAACAAAATGTTAAGTGTATCTTGAGCTCACTGAGGGCAGGAAATATTAATTAATTTGAGAAGAATAACAATTTGGATTTGGGGGCAGGAGCTATATTGTTTGCTAGACATTCTGTTAAGAGAATCTGATTGGATAGGGCAAAGGGAAGAGAAGGGAAGGGAGGGGGCATGGGAGTAGGAAAGATGGTGAAATGAGATGGATTATCATTACCCTAAGTACATGTATGAAGACAAGAATGGTGTGACTCTACTTTGTGTACCAGAGAAATGAAAAATTGTGCTCCATATGTGTACTATGAATTGAAATGCCCTGTTGTCATGTGTAACAATTAGAATAAATTAATTAATTTAAAAAAGAATCTGAGCAATGGAACAACACAAGATTAAAGAAAGAAAATGGAGGAAAAACAGCAAGAGCCAATGTAATGGCTTACAGCCATGAGCTACATTGTGTACACCAATCCAAACCTCCTAAATTTTCAATGAAATTACTAAATTTGCAAAATGCTTGCCATTAGTGGGCTCTTCTGTGGAAACTGTTAAAAGAGCTGAGCAAAACATTTCAGTTAATAGCAATCCTAGAACCACAGACAAAAGGAAACTAAGATCTTAAACTACTTGATAAATGACCAAACCTAAGCAAGGCACTGGACTTTTCAGAGGCTAATGAATTGGACAGATAAATTTAGCCAGAATTTCAAAGTGAAGGGCTTGACACCTGAATTAATCCTTAAAATTGATTAATTTCATTTAATCTTCAGAATCAACTCTGAAAACATTTTCTAAAAATATGCACAGAAACCTCCCAAGTGACAGAACATAGATTAGAATCCCACTTTAGAGTCAAGGCTTCTCCCGTTACAGGTGTGCACACTATGCCAAGCTCAAAGTTTCTTTTCAAACTTCACCCAGCTAGAACTCAGAATCTCCAGCAACCACAGTATTTTACACCTATCTGTATTTGGTGAATGACAGAGTTACAAATTA